TGTCTCTCTGTCAAATAAATAAATAAAATCTTTAAAAATAAATAAATAAATAAAAATTACAGGCCAAATATTACTTTCATGGTCAAATGGGAAATCACAAATGAGTCAAATCTTTAGAGGCACACGCTGTGCTCCCAGCCTTTCTTCCTTATCCTGGAGTCTTCCCCTTCTTCGCTGGGGGCATCCTCAGCTTCAGGCAGCTCCACCACAGGGAGGGAACCCCCTGCTCTCTCTCCCTCCAGAGCACAGGTCTCCTCCCACCTGTGATTCCTGGGCCTCTGGCCACCCAGCACCCAGCAGTACCTTCCTGAAAGCGGGAGTTAGTCCTTCCAGAGACTGACACCACAAAGAGCAAAGTGGGCACTTCAGAGGACGCTTCGTGGTCCAAGGCCATCCCCACCGAGGTCTCTTGCTAGTGGGGGCTGTTGTGGGGTGCACACCCCGCCCAAAGCAAATGTTAACTCTTAGAAGGGGTACAGGCAGGCAAAGTTACTAGGAAGGCTAATGACACCCCCCTCCCCAGTTTTCCTAAATGCCACAGTGCAGGCAGGGCTCCCATGACCGGGCTGGGGTCGTGGCCCCATGGTGACCCTCCTCTGACTTCCAGAGTGGGCCTGGGGGTCTTGCTTCCTGAGAAATGGGCCTGTCACCCCACCAGGGAGGGTTCTATGTCCCTGAAAACTTGTACGTTGAAGCCCGAGCCACCAGAATGACTGTATTTGGAGATGGGGTCTCCAAGGAAGTAACCAAGGTTAAATGAGGCCATAGGGTGGGGCCCTGACCCCACAGGATTAGTGTCCTGAAGGAGAGACACAGGAGGAGCTCTCTGTCCACCCCCTGAGGATACAGTGAGAAGGTGACCATCTGCAAGCCAGGAAGAGAGTCCTTGCCGGAACCCGACGGTGTGGGCCCCCGGAGCTCGGGCTTCCCGCCCCCAGAGGTGTGGGAAATGAATATCTGCTGCTTGAGGCCCCCAGCCTGTGAGATTTGTTGTGGCTGGAGCTGACTAAGACACAGAGCCTCAGTAAATGCAGGCGGATGCCTCAAATGACCGTCCCTCTGCCCCTCTGTTGAGGTGGCATTGGACAGAGGGTTCTCTGGGGAGATGAGAGGTGGCCAGGGGATATTTGTGACCCTCCTGTGCAAGAAATCCCACTCCCTGGGGTGGGGAGAGGCCTCTCTCTCAGAGCCGTGTGAGTTGTGCATACGTGCAATGTATGTGTGTGTGACCGTGAGCACACATGTGCGTGCATGTGAGTGCCGGGGTCTGTAGGTATGTGAGTGTGTTTGTGAGCGCCTGTGTGTGTGTCTGGAAGATAAGACAGAATGGCCCAGGCCTCAGCAAAGGCACTGATAGCAAGGTGGGGACCAGCCAGAGAGCCTTCCCACTGCAAGGCTCTGGAGTGGCCTCCTGGGGAGGCCATGGAGACACAGAGAGGTGAGGAGTTTCAGCAGTCGGGGCGAGTGGATGAGCGGCCCTGCCTGCCTCGAGGGTTCCCTTCTTCCTGAGGCTGCAGCGGCAGCTGGAGGGGGACGGGACTCCTGTTCCAGGAGGACACCTGCGTCAGCTCCCAGCCCCCCACCAAGAGGTAGCCAGGGGAACCCGGACAGACTCCTTGGATACAAGATCAGGGGGCCTCCCACGGTCTCAGGACGGCTACTTCCAGGCACATGGGAGGTTGGTTCTGGAACTCCTGCGGGGGGGGGGAGGGGGAGGGGAAAATGTTGGCTGTTGAGAGCATGTGGGCATGTGGGACCTGTATCCTTGGGAGCTCAGGTCCTTGGCGTGATGGGGCAGCGCTGAACTCTGAGTGTAACCCCGAGAGGGGCAGTTGCCCTGGCCCCTCCTCTGCAGGACGAGGGCTCGTGGGGTGGCCTTCCCCCACCCAGTGGGTCCTGCATCCTCTGTCCCGGCTGCCAGGAGCAGCAATGGGTGGCAACAATTGAAGGGGGCAGCGTGGCCGGCTGAGCATACCCACCCACCCTAGGTTTGAACAGACTGAGGAGCAGACATCCCCGGGGGGCTTGGACTTGAGGCCCCGACCGGTGTGCCCTGCTCCTCCATGTCCCTGCTCGGCCTGCCCAGACCAAGCTCCAGGAAGGCCGGAGGTGTGTGCCCGTTGGCCTGTAAAGTTTGGAGGCTGTGCCAGTCACGTACGCATGCTGGACCCTCTCCACCCACTGCCGGCAACCATGTGTTTGCGGGGCACTCCATCCTAAAACGAATCCATGCAGAAATGCCAGTTTCATTTTGATCTGAAGTCTAGGACGACATGAAGGACACAAGGGGGAGCGTGGAGAGGGGCTAAAAATACTGTAGGATTTCCATCTACCTTTTCCAAGAAAAGAACCAAGGCTCCCTCTGGCCTGGCCTTCTTTCTTCTGAAGGGTTCTCTGCCATTCAGCTCCTCCAGCAGACACCTGCTGGACGGGCACCTCCTGAGCCAGGCCCCGGGGGGGTGCAGGTCCCCAGCCGCGGGTCCCAAGTCCCCATCCCCGAATGCTCAGGCCGGCGGCCACCAGAGGTCTGCAGTGGAACAGAGCCAGGACCGAGTGGGTTCTGGCACCGCCGGCCTCACGACTGAGAGACCACCGCCGGCCTCACACCTCTTGGAGACTCGCCACCCGTGAAACAGGATGGGCGGTAGCAGCCGACCCCGGGGATGGGGACGGGAGGACGATGCAGGTGCTGGTCCATAGCAAGAGTGTGTCGTTACCGGGGGTCCAGGACAGCTACCCCAGAGGTGACTGTGTCCACACCCAGTTCCCCTGCCTCTAAAAGTAGGTGGGTCCTGGTGGCTGAAAGGGCCTTTGTTTGTTAGGAAGGATGACAGATTGGGTAGGAAAGTCTGAGACCAAGGGACTGAGCTGAACTTTTCTGCCAGAAAGGAGCGAGATGCTGAGGGGGCGGGGCCAGGATGGTTTGGTGCCATTGGCAAGACAGAGACAGACACACAAAGACACACACACACACACATGCACACAGAATTGTCTCTGCATAGATGAGCATATGCTGGAGGGGAACCTGAAGTCTAACAGGGGATGCAGAGGTGTGTGTGGGGGGGGCGCTGGGGGTGGAAGCTCTCTCTCGCAGGGCTCCCCCCACCCTGTGGGAGGTCCATGAAAGCCCCCCTGTCCCGAATGCTCTGGTGCACTGGGCTTGTTCAGGGAGAAGGCGATGCAGGAACCAGTCCTGCTTTGGGGCCTGGGCTCCAGCCGCTCGCTGTTCCCATCCTGTGTCCTCTTCCAGGAGGAGACCCTTATTTTATCCTCACCCCTCCTGGATTCCAGGGGTGCAAGAGAGCTGGGCAGCCCAGGCCATGGAGCACCCTATGTCTTCAGCCAGATTAGCACAAGCCTGCCTTCCCAGGGCTCACCGTGTCGTGGGAATGTCAGGCCTTAGGTACGGGTGGGGCCCAGGGGAGACTGGGCCAGGTTTCCCCACAGGGAAACCGGGAACATCCTGTACTCAGGTAGATGGGTCCAGGGTCAGGGAAAGCAAAGAATGGCGGGTAGAGATTGGAGGCAGGAAGCAGCAAAGGGCCTCAGGGAGGCGAGAGTGTGTGCATGTGTGTATGGGCGTGCACGCGTGGGTGTGCACGCAGGGTGTGTGTGCCGTACGTCCACGGAGGAGGGAGGCGAGCGTGGGGAGCCAGCAGCCAGAGGCGGCCTAGAGAGGCCTCCCCATGAAGGGCCTTCCAGCCCAGGCCACAAAGCGGGACACTTCCGCCCAGGGCACCGGGCAGCAGCGGAGGGCTCTGGGCGGGCAACGGGAGGGCAGCCCCTCTGGCTGCCTAGTGCTGGCCCTGCTGGCCGGGGAGAGGCAGCCCAGACGGGCCACTCCTCAGACTCCCTGCGCTGCGGGCGGGTAAAACTTGGGGGCCGAGAACTCGTGGACAAACAAGAGCTCGTGAGCTTGGTTAGCTTCCCTCCGGTGAAAGGCACAGTCAACAAAGCCCAGCCCCGTGAGCAGCCCCCAAGGTTTGGTCCCAGCAGAGATCACAGAGGCTCACGTCACACCCAGGGGGTGCTGAGACCCCGAAATATCCTCTCTGCTCCTGACTACTCTGATGTCCCGGTGAGCACGGGCCCCGTGTGAGATCTGGCCGTTGACCCGTCTGTAGAGAGGTGGGGATACCGCTGTTCACACATTTTATTTTTTATTTATATTTATTTATTTATTTATTTTTAAGATTTTATTTATTTATTTGAGAGAGAGAATGAGAGACAGAGAGCATGAGAGGGAAGAGGGTCAGAGGGAGAAGCAGACTCCCTGCCAAGCAGGGAGCCTGATGCGGGACTCGATCCTGGGACTCCAGGATCATGACCTGAGCCGAAGGCAGTCGCCTAACCAACTGAGCCACCCAGGCGCCCCTGTTCACACATTTTAAAGATGGGCTGGACGTCGTGGTTTCAGTAGAGTTGGTTGTGGTTTCCTTCGTGATCTTAGGTATTTTATTGTAAAAACGCTATTTTAAGAAAGTGTCCCTGGGCTCCCAGGTGCCCGAAGGAGTCACACAGACCATGTCAAGACCCCCGAGATGGAGGGTGGGACCCCCTCTCTATCGTGCGGACAGGGGTTTCCCCAGATAATTTTTTTAAGATGATTTTTTGGTTTCCCCCAGATCTGTGTGGCCCTCTGTGGGGCCACCCTCATCACCCTGCACCCTCATCACCCTCATCACCCTCCTCTTCATCTGTTGAGGTTGCCGGGCAGAGCGGGTGTCCCATTTCCACAACCGTGATGCTCCCCAGCCTGCGTTTGGGCAGGTTTTTGCCTGAAGCGCTACTGACTTTGACTATTTAGGGGGACTTTCATTTCAGACTTTTGGAGACCTGCCTCGGAACGAGAGGTCTTCCGGCGTTTGGCGCGGGTCACGGCACACGGATCCCCCGGGATCTGGCTGAAGGGCAGAGTCGGCATCGGCAGGTGTGGGCTGGGCCTGAGACCCCACACCTGAGAGGCAGGGGTAGGACGATCTCCGGAGGACCTACAGCAAAGACAAAAACAGTAAGACGGTTTCTCACAGCCCAGCCCTGGAGACGCATAGGAAACGCTCCATCGGAGAAGGTTCCCTGGTGATGCTGTGCACAATCAACTATTAACCAATGATGTCACTCATTCAACAGACTCCTTGACCTATGGCTGGGGACTCAGCGGGGACAGGACAGGCAGCCTCCTCATGGGGGACAGACTAATCACGGACTCCTCTGTCTGAGCAGGTCTCCCAGAGCTCATGAAGCTAAAGCCCCGGGGGCCTCTCTTGCGCTCAGCTCCCTTCCAGGCCATGGGGTTGCATACACATGGGTTTCTGCACAACTGGAATGCCTGCAGAAGGTTCTGGTCCCACCACCCGTTTCTACCCCTGAAGTTTCAGGGACAAGTCCCGTCGAGGGAACAGGTGGAGAGACTGGAGGCGGGGGTGGGGTGGGGTGGGAGGATGGTGGGCCACTGGGGCAGACACAGAGCCACAGGCCTACACTGGCCACAGCCAGCTTGGGGCTCGGCCTGAGCTCCCTGGTGGCCGAAGTGAGACCTGATCAGGGACGTGACCTTCATTGTAGGGAGTTTGGTTCTTGGAGGGGACACCGGTGGCCATGGCCCACATATCTGTGTGTGAAAGGTTCTGTGGGTTGGGGGGGGGCACCTACGGCAGCAGGTCCTTTATCCTAATTTATAGAATCCCTGATCCTGATTGTTCACATGTAATTTACCAATTTATAACAAGATGTTTTGACGTAGATTACCATAAACATTTTTTGAACAAGGCTGGATATAACACATAGACCTGCTCCTAGCCCAGACGATGAGCTGCTCCTTTAAGGGGGTGCGGGGCAGCCCCAGCTGAAGGAGCCCCTCGGCTTCTTCAGGACCCAGGCTCAGCACTCGCCCTCCTGGGGCTTCAGCCTCCCCATCACAGGTGAGGCCCCACTGGCTGGCGTATGGGGCCTCCCTCAGGTCAGGGCAGGGAGCTCAGGGGTCCCCACAAAGGCACTGGAGTCCCCAGAGGCCTGGGACGCTCAGATCTCCACAATGGAGCCCTTCACACAAGGAGGTGGGGAGGTAACAGAGGGCCCAGCACCCCGGTGAGGGCAGAGCTCAGACAGGTCCCTGCCATTTCTGCCCTTTGCCTGGCCCTTCTGCCTTGAGGGGACCCTGCTGGTAATGGTCCCCCCACCTCCCCACCCCAATGTTAGCTGGTCTCCGGCTTATCCTGGCTTCCATGAAGGAGCTGGGAGCCACGGAGGGCCGTTCAGGGATCTCAGCCCCATCAGCTCAGCCCAATGGCCATTCTCCTTGGTTCTCAGACCAGGGACAGGCTTCCGGCCCAATTCCCAGTCCCGGTTCCCTGGAGGCTGGGGTCACTCACTCTTGCTCTCCCAGCTGCCCAGCTGCCCCCTACCTGGGGCCCCCCACCTGTTCCTGGAGCACCCTCCGAGGCCTGGGTGGCCACGGAGCTCGTGAAGTCAGTACACTCCCATCTCACAAATGACAAGACCGAGCTCCTTGTGGTTCTGCTGCCCCACCGCGTATGCGCATCGTGAACTGAATCCTAGTAGACAGAAGCTCGCGCATGCAGGGGGCTCCTCCCGCCCATCCCCATGGGCTGGTGGCCCCTGTGATTTGGGATCAGGTGAGGCATCAGCCTTCCCTCCCTGACCACCTGACTCACAGAACTCTCCAGGTCCCTTCCGTTAGGCCTGCTCTCCGGGTACTCCCTCCCCACCTCCAAAAGAAAACAAACTCCACCGGAGGCGAGCACTCTGAACGGGGTCAGAGCGTTGGCTTCTAACCGGGTGCAAAAAAACATCCCCCACCCAGCCCAGAAGGAACCTCACGTGCCCTTCTCCCCCTGCTGGCCACGCTGACCCCTGACCCTTTGAGCGAGCCCCTTCTCCGCCGTGGTCCCAGCCACTCCTGAGAGGCTACTCAGCTTTCCAGCTCTTCGTTCCAGGGTCCCTGGGCCCCACTGTCAGGACAGGACAGAGAAACCAGACACTAGGAGCCTGCCCGCCCTGGGAGTGGGGAGGGGAGACCCCAGCGAGGCGAGGGGCAATCTGAGGGTGAGCACCGGGGAAGGATGTCTGGGGCCTGGCGTCGCAGACACAAGCTCGGGATCGGGGCACACAGCTTTATTCCATCCTCTTCCTGCCCGCGGCCGCCCTGGGCAGAGTGAGGACAGGCTGCAAGGAGGGCCTGGGACAGGGGCACACAGGAGGTCATGCCGTGGCCTGAGGTGAGTGGGAAGGGGGAAGGCGGGTCTGCTACCAACCCCCACTGCCCTGGGGATTGTTCCGGAGGCCTGGCTAAGCCACAGGATTCAGTCTCCGTGGGTGTGGACGCTGGTGGGCTGGGGCAGGCTGGGGGTGGGAGGCCAGGTCTGTTCGGTGCACACAGGGCTGACGAGTGTGCGTGGTGACCTGCGGGAGGCAGCGGAGCGGCCAACACCCCGAACGGAGCAGGGCCAGGGGCTCGGCTAGTGACGCTTTTTCCAACCGAGACTCAGGAAGGGCAAAGTGGCTAGGGCCCACAGCCGACCGGATGGGACAGAGTAAAAAAACTCTTGCACACACGCACCCCCCAGACACACACACGGGGTCAGCAGAAACGCGAGGCCGTCACACGATGCTCTGCCGACCCCCGGCCCCCTCAAACTCTGACGTGCCCGAGCCCCGGCCCCGGCCAAAGTCAATGAAGATCCCTTCCGAATCCGAGTCCACGGACTCCAAGATCTGGTCCACCAGGTTCTCCGGACTGGAGGAGGGTGGGGAGGGGCGGGCGGCGCCTGGGCCAGGTTCGGTGGGCTGGGCGGGGGGATACAGTCTGCTGGGGCACGGCCCCGACTGCGCGCCCACAGAGGGTCTGAAGGCCCCAGGGGGAGCCTGGCCGGGCGCGTCGGAGAAGCCCTGGGGCTCGGGGCAGGATGTCATCTCCGAGACCGAGTGCCTGCGGATGCCGGGGCCTCCGGGCGCTGCTCCCTCGGCCTCGTGCTCTGCCACGGGGTTCAGCAGTGGGGTGTTGTAGCTCTTAGAGCGCACCACCGGGTTCTTGGCCAGGACATCCCCCGAGCGGGAGCGGCGCAGGAAGTGCTTCTCTGCAGAGACAGACAGACAGACGAGGTGTCGGGCACGGGGGCCACTTGGCAAACCCAGGCACCCGTGTGGTCCAGGCCCTTCCTGGGGCCAGAGGCTAGCCGGCAGCCACTGCGTGCTTAGCTCCGCACAAAGGGCAGCCACAGGGAAAAACCCGATTGGCGCAGATCCTTGGCCCGGCCCCCTCACGCCCCTGCAAGTGAGAGGGCTCTGACCCTGGGTCTGTCCCTATGTGTCTTCCTCCTCCCTTCTTCCGTCTGCGCTGCGGGAGGGGGAGGCTCAAATCAGCTGCTTGGTTCAAATGTGCACATGCCTCAGTTTCCCCACCTGTGGAAAGGTGAACAATCTGCGGCACTTCCAGGGTGTGTGGCGAGGAGGACAAACCCATGTGGGTGGGCCACAGGTCAGGTAGTGGTTAAGTGTCAGGGCGGGGGCGGGATGACACAGGGTCTTTTCACGTGAGGTAAGATCAGGGCTGGGGCTTTATTTGGAGTGTGGCGGGTGCCCCGGGGGGGTGGGGGGGCCAGAAAAGGATGGCCGCAGGGGCTGGACTGGGTGGGGGGGCCAGATCTCAGGCTCCCACTCAGGGCCCTGCAGTTCCAAAGAGCGACCACCATGTGGCAGGGCTGAGCCCGGTGAGCGGCTCAGGGGCCTTTCCAGGGCAAGAGACAGAGGCACCCTGTCCAGCAAGCGGGGGCCTGGAGTCCAGCACCAGACGGAGTCGAGGGGGGGCGGTGCTCAAAGCTCTCCTCCAGCTGCTGGGGCCTGCCTGGTGGCTGGGCTTTACACCAGCAGGTAGGTGGGCACTCCCAAGCAGCCCTTGTGCCTCTGGGCCCCTAGTCCAGGAGGGTCTTTGTGCACCTCTCCCCAGGCCTGGCTCCTCCTCCTTCAGCTCACCTGTCACTTCCAGTCTGGCCTTCCCCCACATGGCCCTCATATCACCTGGGTATGGGTCCCCGTGGAGACGCATCTGGGGATTGTTTACTCATTGGTCTGCCTTCCCTGGCCCTGAGAGCCCACGTGGGTGGGGCTTGGTCTCTGCTGATCCCCCATGGCCAAGAACAGGGGCAGGCACACAGCAGGCGCTCGGTTTACAGAGGTGAATGAACCAATGGGCTGTCTGTTAAAGGAGCAACATGGCGGGCTTCTGCCAGACAGGCCAGGCTGCCTCAGGACGCCCACCTCCCCTTCTCCTCCCCTGAGTCCCCAAACAAGCTAGGTTTCTTGGGCTCCGGGCCTTTGCACATGCTGTGCCCTCTGCTGGCCAACTCCCGCCTTTCAGGACTGAACACAGATGGGATCTCACTGGGAACACAGAAGCCTCTGTGGGGCTCTCAGGGGAGTCATCACATTACCATATATGGTGTCAGCCTGACAGGTCCCCTTCAGTTCTTGAAGGAGGGACCCCAGACCCCGCATGCCTAGGGCCTAGCACACAGCAGGGCTGGGGGATGCTCAGGACAGGTCTGCTGCATGACCGAAAAGCACATCCCCAGTGGGATCTGGTTGTGGCCATCTATTCACTGGGAGGCCTGGACCCTGGGCAGAGGTGGATGGGGCCGGAGGTTGCCCAGCTCCCCGCCCAAGACCCAGTCAAGCCCTACCCAGGATGCAGGAATGTGTGAAGGGGCCCTCTCCGGAGTAGAGGCCGTAGGTGCCGAGGTAGGGCGACACCACCTTCTGGATCAGCGTCTCAAGGCGCAAGTAGTCCTTGGTCACGCCCCGGGACTCGTGCACCCCCTGCAAGAGAGGGAGGGAGGCGGGTGGTCACTAGACAGCCTGTTCCTTGCTGTCCTGGCCCAGCCAGGCTGAGCTCGATGGTTACCACTAAAGGCCTCCCCTGGGGACCCCTGCCCTCACTCCTCACCCCATGGAGTGCTACAGGCAGGAAAGGCTGCCCCCCAGGGCCAGCCAGGCCCTGTCCACCTTCTCCTCCCTGACACCCCTCGTCCAGAGCTCTGAGGGGATCTCTACCTCTTCCGGTTCTATCAGAGCCAAAGCCTGAGGAAGGCAGCCGCCCACAGGACAGCCTTGGTCTGGCTGATGGGGGGCAAGCTCTGTGCCCCCAGCACCCCCAGCAGAGGCCTGGCACACAGTAGGCCCTTAGTGAGCGCGAAGAAATGGGACATCCCTCCTCGAGGGGCCGCCAGTTGCTTACAGCACAAGATGCTCTTAGAATGTTAGATGACAGCTCTGGACAGTATGAGAGCTCCCCGCCACACCGCCCACGAGAAACCCACTTCAACTGGAAAAACACACACAGACTAAAAGCAAAGGGTCAAGGGGTGCCCGGGTAGCGCAGTCAGTTAAGGGGCCGACTCCTGATTTCGGCTCAGGTCATGATCTCAGGGTCGTGGGATCGAGCCCCACCTTGGACTCCGGGAGCACAGAGTCGGCTTAGGATTCTCTCTCTCCCTTTGCCCCTCCCTCCCTCCAATCAATCAATCAATCAATCAATGCAAAGGGTTGAGAGAGCTGTGCCACGCTGACTCCAATCACAGGAAAGCCGGAGCAGCTAGGTTAATTTCAAGGTTAATTTCGGACAGGGTGGATTTTAGTCCAAGGAACGGCATAAGGGCCAAAAACGTCCCTATGTAACAATACAGAGGTCAATTCTCTGGGACGACATAACAACCCCTAACATGCCTGCACCTAACAACAGAGCACCAGACCACGTGAGGCAAAACCGCTAGAACCTCGGGAGAGATCGTTAATCCACTAGGGGAGACAGACCAGCAGGCAGAAAACCGGGAAGGACACACTGCGCTCACCACTACCATCAACCGACGGGATCTAATCGCCATCAGACTGCCTCCCCCCCACGACAGCGGAACACACACTCCGCAGCTCACGTGGCACGCCTGCCAAGTCAGACCATGTTCTGGGCCACAAAACGCAACTTCACAGATTTAAAAGGAAATCATACAGTGCCTGCTCTCAGGCCACAGTGATGTGAAACCAGGAATCGGGAACAGGAAGATAACTGGGAGATCCCCAAATATGTGGAGAGCAAACAACTCACTTCTAAATAACCCATGGATCAAAGAGGAAATCTTTTTTCTTTTTGATTTTATTTATTTACTTGACAGAAAGAGAGAGCATAAGCAGGACAAGCAGCAGGCCAGAGGGAGAGGGAGAAGCAGGCTCCCTGCTGAGCAGGGAGCCCGACTTGGGGCTCGATCCCAGGGCCCTGAGATCATGACCTGAGCTGAAGGCAGACGCTTAACCAACTGAGCCACCTAGGTGCCCCCAAAGAGGAAATCTTAACAAATATCTTAAAATGTTTTGAATGAAATGAAAATGAAAACAGATCCACATTGATGGGATGCACTGAAGCTGTGCTTTGAGGGAAACTGTAGCATGAAATGGATATGTTAGTAAAGGGAAAGCCCGCAAGTCAATAACCTAAGCTTCTACCTTGGGAAACTAGAAAAAGAAGAGAATGAAGTCCAAAGAAAGCACAAGAGAAATAATAACAGCAAAACTCAATGAGACTGAAATAGGAAATCCTTAGAGAAAATCGATGCAAACAAAAGCTGGCTCCTTGAAAAGCCCAGTAACATCACTAAGCCTCCAGCCAAGCTGACTACTAAAGAGAGGACACTATTTCCTCACGTCAGGAATGAAAGAGGAGCCATCACTACAGACCCCACATTCCCTGGAACTACCTCCACCCCCAGCAATAGCAGAACAGATGAACAAGGTGCTCCGCTCAGTGGGGCGTTCATGAACTTCACGTTGTTTCATTCCCCAGACTTGTAAAGGGTGTCTGTCTCTGCCCCCTGCTGCACAGTGAGAGAATGGGGGCCCAGGGGCTGCATTACTGGTGAACACTCAGATGCACAGCTGCTCCCCTGGCTTCCCTGGGAGAAGAATGGTCACTCTGCCTGTGAAGCATGGGGTACATGATAGGCCCTCGACACATGCTAACCAGCAGCTGTGACTTCAGATCCATCAGGGACTCGAAAACAGTGGGGACAAGCTCACTCAAAGTGCAGGCCAGGTGGGGAGCGGGGCTACAGCAAAGGGGCAGGAGGGCAAGTCTTTGGGGCAAAGGGGCCAAGCGGAGGAAGCTGCGTGAGGCAGAGAGGCCACCAGGGGGCAGCACCGCCCCAGTCTGGCTACCCACCTCAGTGCTTCCATGGGATCATGGTGGGACCTCCTCGGCTCTAAATCCCAGTCCAGCCACTGTGGGCCCCCAGAAGCACCACACCATTTCTCCCCACTGTCCTTGAACCTGCCCTGCAGGCAGGAATTCAATCTGTCACACAGGTGGAAAGAGGCTGAGAGAAACAAAGTCCTTCGAGGTCCCCTGCTTCAACCCAGCCAGGTCTCACCTAAAATCCTTCCAAATCCCAGTGGCAGGCCCAGCACCCTGCTTCGCTGCCAGGACGACCACCAGCTCCTGCCCAGCGCAGTCCCTCGACCCTCAGACCTCCACATTCATCAGGCCCTTCCTTGCTCCGGAATATTCACTGGCTGCCCTGGACCCTAGGACCAAACTTGCAGACCCTAATTTAGGATACCCACGTGCATGGGGGGATGCAGAACAACGAACAGGATTTTGGAGCGGTCAGACGTGGGTGAGGCCAGGCCTCGTTAGCTCTGGGCAAACGAGGACTCATTTCCCACCTGTAAAATGGGGTGGTGACGGGATGCAGTAGTTTGCAAAAGGCCCTGTTTATAGTAAAGGCTGTTGGTGGCCCATCAGATCCCCTGCTGTCTTGGGCAGGCCACTCATCCCCAGCTTGTGCCTGCCCCCTTCCCAAAGTTGCTCTGTCGGGTGAAATCCATCCACACCAGAAACATCTGGAACCACTGTGGGGGGGTGACCAACAGCCCCTGCCCACGAGGGACAACTCTGGGCCCCTTCACACTCCTGGGCTCCCCATGGGATGAGGTTGAGGCCTGCTTCTCTTGAACTCCCATCTTCCCCCAACACCTTCTGGGCTCCTCCTGCTTCCCTCTCTCCTTCCGGGTTTCTCCTGAGAGTCTCTCCATTGACAAGTCACATGGACCCAGATCCTCGCCTCAGGCTCCGCCTCTGGGGAGCCCAGCCTTGGGCCCAGGGATGCTCCTGCCACAGGAGTGCACAGTGGCCCCCTCAGGGCCCCACGCACCTGCAGCACCAGCAGCATCTGCACGATGGCAGGGGGTACGCGGGCGTGGGCGCGGGCCAGCGCATCCTCCAGCTTCACACTCAGGGTGATGGCATTCCGGAAGTGCAGGAGGGCCAGCTGGCGCACAGACGGCTCCTTGCCCTGCAGACACAGAAGGCCGTGCCCTGCCCTGCTGCCGTCACATGAAACCCCCACTTCCCTCCACATCCGATGATCTGGGACCAGATCCCAGGTATACAGCCTCATAGACCATCGGGCCCCCTTCCGCCCCATCCTCCTCCCTGGATGACCCCTGTCCCAAGGAGAGGCCCCAGTCAGCTTCCTCAGGCAAGGAAAGGGTAACTGGCACAAACCAAGCCCCTCTGGTGTGTTGGGCAGGGCCTACTATGTGCTGCCCAGGGCTTTATAGGGCCTGTAGGAGGGGACCGTCCTTCGTTCCAAATTGTGGGTGGAAAGCGGTTCTGAGAGGTCCAGGGACGTGCCTATCCCCAGGCTGGGGGCACCGTGCAGCAAGGCTGGGATGGGCGGTCGCCTGGGCCCTGGGGGTCCCACGGCTGCAGGGGCCGTTCACCTGCACCGGGTAGAAGATGGCCTGCAGTGTGGGCAGCACGTCACTGAAGAAAAAGTCCCACGTCTCTGCCAGTGAGTCCAGCAGTTTCTGTCCTGTGGGTACAGACAGCCATCACTGCTCACCCCTCCCAGGCCGGAGTCCTCTCGCCCGTCCGCAGGAAGACACGGGAGCTGAGGGCTGGGCTCCGGGCCCTGGAGGTGCCCCCCTGCCCCCAGGTCGATAGCACGCAGCACTTAGCAGCTCTGTGGTCGGGGGTCCACGGTGTAGTCTCCCTGTGCCTCAATTTCCCCATTAATAAAACGGGACAGCGAGAGAGCCGACCTCCCAGGGCTGTGGGGATGAAATGAGCGGAGACGGGGTCCAGGGCAGAGGAAGAGCTCGTAAGCACTGGCTGCTGGTTCCCATTCCTTCATCCCACACCAGACCCGCACAGGAGCGCCCCCCACGCCTGACGGCAGTTGCCACACACAGCCATCTCCTCCGATTCCCATGGTGACCCGCCCCCCCTCTGCCGCCAGCAGGTGGGGAATCCGTCCACCCATGCAGGCATTTGCAGAGCACCTGCACTGGGTACTGGGGGCCCAGCCCAGGACAGGGAAGCAGGACCCTCAATGGCAACTATGAGCACAATCATCATCCCATTGAAGGGGTGACCTCAGTGGGCAGACCAAGAAACAGAGCCTCTGAGAGGTTCAGGTCCTTTTCCTCCAGGGCCCTGGTCCCTGCCACCCTGGGTTGCCTGGGGTGGGATCTGGGGAGCCAGGGAGGCCACGTCCAAGAACAGCATGTCCCAGGTAGGGAAGGGAAGCAGTAAAAGTGGAGAGGATCAGGCCGGGAGGGCTTCCTGGAGGAGGTGCTACCCAAGCTGATTTAGGAGGCTGGGTTTGCCAGGTTGATGGACATCCTCAGTGTGGGATCCACACAAGCAGATGTGTGAAAAGCAGCCATTTGGTCAAGCTCTGGGTTATTTCTGCCAGCCCTGCAGAAGGAGCATGCCATCCTCAGGGTGGGCAGCCCCTGAGGGATGAGGACAGATGAGGTGTCCCCGAGCTGGGTCGGGGCTCCCCCAGGAAATGCAAAGTGCTAAACCCTCAGCCCTTCTGCCTGGAATGAACAGAAAGCTGCTGTGTCTGGGATAAGCAGGTCCCAGGACATGTTGCCCAAGGCCTCTGCTGCTCGGTGGGACCCCCACCTGGAAGTCAGACTAAGGACTGGTGGAGAAAACCTGGGTGTGCTGGGGGTCTCTGGGTGAGGAGGTGAAGTGCCACATGCGGGCCGGCGTCCCAGACTATACTGCTTCGAGGCTTCCATGGGAATCAGGGAGCCAGACAAAGGCCTTCACCTCTTCTTACTTTCCTTGGGCTCTGGGCCCCACACTTTCCCTGCCCATTAAGGCCCAAGTCTGTGTAGGTTTGGGGGCTCTGGGAGGGGAGCCTGCTGGGGGCGGCCCCAGGAAGCCCATCCAGCCCAGCGGGAGGCCAGGGTGCTGTGGCCTCTGAGCGTGGCCAATCTGCCGGCACTGGGGCTCTCTGCCCGGCAGCCAGCTCCCGACCCTCCCTGGGGGCCCACGCCTAGCTCTGCAGAACCCAGGGTGGGTGGGTGCCGCCGCCCGCGGAGCTCTGCCTGTACAAAGGTCCCTTCAGGTCCCCGCCGTCCCTGGCAAGAAGAAAGGCGGCTCAGTTCCCCGGGCTGGCCGTGGGGTGGCTCTGGGCACGGGCCAGGCCGGCGCCCGCAGGCTGCTCTCCAGCCCACGGGACGGAAATGCTGTGGGAAGCAGAGGTTGTAAAACACTGCCTTGAGGCCCCATCAGAGCTGCACACTGACCGAGGCCAGGAAGCACGGCCTCGCCCACCGGCCAAGTTCTCCACTGGGGCCCGTGGCCTAGGGCTGCAGGCGAGGGGGGTGGCAGGGCTGTCTGAGGCAACAGCATCAGGACCCTCGGGGAGTCCGGCAACCAGGGCCTCAGTGTGCTCCTCCGTAAGATGGGTGTGAACGTCCTCGCGCGCACTGGGCAGGAAGCTGCCACGTAGCAAGTGCTCACTAAGTGTCGGCTGGGGGCATGGCCACCGGTGGGCCTGTGTGGGCCGTGTCCGTGCGGAAGCTCAGCAGAACCCAGGTTCTCCCCTGGCGGGCGGGACCATCTGTCTTCCTCTGTTCAGTCCAAGTGCTGAGGGCCCGGGAGACTGGAGCGCACCAGGCTGATCTTGGCTCGGGTCTTAGCCCCATGACGACCACAGGGCAGTGGAAAAGGCCACAGCAGGAGCTCCGAGGAGGCGAGCTAGCCAGGACGACGGCCCAGTGGAGTCAGGCCCACGGGCCGGCATGTCAAGGCCACTGGGGAGTTTGGCCAGATGGCCTGTAACAGGCTGGGATTCCTGCTGGACAAGAGAGGGCCAAGCCCAAGGCCTGGAGCCTGCAGGAGCCCCCGAGCTCCTCCCTGGAGTCCTCGGGTGTCTGGCCGCTGAGGAGTCAACCTGGCGGCAGCCAGAGCCCCTCCTGTAAGCCAGGCTTGGAGACCACGGAACCATAGCCTTAGGCGTGGTCTGGGAGGGAGACTCCACGTCAAGGCTGTCCCTCCAGGCCTCCTGTTTCCAGGAATCGCTGTGCTCAGGAGCTGATGTCCAAGGCCTGGCTGGAGGCTGGAGGCTGGAGGCTGGAGTGGGGGCAGGCGGCAAGGTCCTGGGGCTGGCCACGTGAGGTCACCCACCACCCTCCAGCAGAAGCACAGGTGAGGACGTGGCTGGCCACAGGGAGCGGTCTCAAGGAAGAGCTGCCCTGGGAGCCAAACCAGGGCAGGAGGTGGATGCGACAGGCTCCAAAGGCCACCCCTTAGGGTGCGGCATCAGCAACTGTCCCCCTGGCATGGACTGAAGGGCCAAACGTCTTCCAGGACAGACCACATTCTGAGGCCTGACTCAAGGACCACTGCTTCCATGGAGTCCTCCCTGACTGCCAAGAGGGAACTAACCCTTCCTTCCCCGGGGCTTCCCTTCACCCTGACATTCATCACCCTGAATTGTCACTGTCTGGTCCACTCTGTGTCCCCAACTGGACTGTCAGTCCCTGCTAGGCAGGGCTGGATCTCCTCCATTTCCAGGCCCCCAGAGACTAGCTGGGGCCTGACCCACAGTGAGCACATGGGTGGAGCCCATCCAACCCCACGGTTCTAAGATTGGGACACTGAGGCTGAGGTCTGTGGCTGGATGGGAACTGGAGGCCAAGGCCTGTGGCCCCCAGACTGGGGCTCCGTGCCTGGCCCCAAGGCCTGGGGAGGCTGGACGGGGCTGGCACTCCCCGCTGGGTGGCCTGGCGGGCACGGCTGCTGCAGGCAGGGCTTGACTCAGCTGCACAAAGCTGCTCTTCTCTGAAGCTCCCAGCTCCCCTAGGCCGGAGCCGGTGGGAGGCAGAGGCACTGCTGGAATGTGCCGAGTAAGTAGAGGGGCGTGGGAGGGCATCTCTGCCAGGTGCCAGATCCTCACTGCCCTGACTGCCGGACTCCGTTGCCGCCTCCTCCAGGAAGCCAGCCTCGATCCCTGGCGGTCTGTGCCTCTCCCTCCCCTCGACTGTGGTTCTGGTGGGCCTTCCCAGGCTCCTGCCTCAGAGCTTCCCAGATGATAGAAGCGGGAGGCGCAGAAAGAGCAGGGGACACGCAGCTGAGTTCATCCAGAGCACACTAGGCCACTGACCTGTGTCCTCCTCCGCGAAATGGGCTAACACCCCTTCTTTGTAAGGTCAGAGTAAGGATCGAAGAAAGAACGGAAGCAGCAGTGGAACCAGGCTGCCACACAGGGTCGTGTGGCCCCGGTGCCTCAGTTTCCCTGTATGTGCAGCGGCTGCAGTGATGTGTCTCGTGCAGGGTTGCTGGGAGAGCCTGAGTTAGGAGCCGGAGAACACTCAGGACGGTCTAGCAGAGAGTAAGCAAGTGCCCAGGGCCTGGTGCACAGGAGATGCTCAACCAGTGTTCACGGAGCCAGAACTGAGCACAGGGACTGGCACAAACAGGCCTTAGCGGAGGTACTGGGGTTTGAGCTGGGCCCTCCCGTAATTTGAGCTCTCTCTCTGCCGATTCACTCCTACAAGGAGACAACGCTTCGGTCGCTGCCCCTGGCGCTGGAGCTCGCGGGCCTCCAGAAGGGCCAAGGGCGAGTGCGCTGGGGCCAGGCTGGCCCGGGCCCGAACGCACCCCCACCCTCTACTCACAGTGTGGCTGCAGACAAATCGCCTGCCATCATTACGCTGCTCCCAGCTATGAAATGGGCACAGGGACCCGAAGGCCTCGTGGGTGGGTAGGAGCATTAAAAGAGAAAACCCGTCTAGAAGGTCCAGCACCAGGCTCAGGCCCCAAACTCTGATGGGGCAGCTCCTTCCAGCCAGGGGACAGCCCCTGGCTCCCACCTCCTCCTTCAGGAACATCAGGGCAACAATAGGTCCTCAAAGGTCCTGTTGGGGGGTTCTCCCAAGATGCTGAGATGGGGTTCACTGGCACGAGAAGGCCCCAGGAGCAGTGAGGGGAGGCAGAGCCTTTTCCTTGATGTCTCAGCCCTCCTGGGCTCCAGCAAGTTGCGGGGTGGGGGTGGGGGAGCAGATGCTCTCCCTATTAAGGTCCCCTCCTGGGGTCAGATCTTGGCCTTGCTGCCCCTGCTGCCCTCCCACCTGGAGCCCTGGGGACACAGGCAAGGCTGGGAGGGCCACACGTCCCAGCAGGGACACCGGCATGCGGCGCATCCCCACACTCGGTCCCAGCTGCGGGGCCGCCACACTCACCCTCATAGAAGCGGATCTTGTCCCGCAGGATCACCATGCCTTTCGTCAGCAGCTGGTTCTGAAAAGCACACACAGGCAAGCCGTTACTGCCCCCCCAGCCGGCAACCGAGGCCCGGGGCGGGGGCTCTTACCCATGTCCCCCCACCCCCCAGCCTGTTTCCGGTAGAGCTTGAACCTCAACTCGCCCTGGGAGGACAGCGACGGCCCCTCAGAGACAAGCCGAGCAGGGCAGGTGGCCGCCTTCGCAGTCCCTGATGGAGGAAGGCCTTTCAAGCAAGAGGGGCCCCCTGCCTCAAGCCCTGGGGTGTGAACCCTGACGCCCCAAGTGCGGGGGTCATGCTGTCACGCTGCCCCAGGCGTCTGGGCTGAGAATGACACCTGGTGGGCTCAGCACCGCCACCAGCAGCCAGAAGGTAGAAGCGTCCCCAGCGTCCCCCATGGGTGGACAGACACAAGGAGTGTCTCTGGACTTGGAATCTCACACGGCTGCAAAAAAGGAGCGAAGCGCGGACTGACCCAGGAATTAGCGGTGTCGGGACACTGAAGGCCCCCGAACCGTGCACTTTAAACGGGCGCACTGCACGTGAGTTCTGCCAACCCCGACCCCGCGTGAGAGGAGGCCCCTCTGCCGGCGGGTGGGCCCTCGCTCGAAGCCCACCCCCGCCACTGCTCCCCGCCCTTCCTTCCTGGCCGTGTGTGCGTGGACTCTGCAGGCTTGTTGGCCCAAGGAGGTGTGACAAATGCAAAGTAAGGCACGGCCTGGACCAGAGCGGCCTCTCGATGCTGATGCCAGGCCAACGGCATCACCGTGTGGCTCAGGGCGCTGGGGCCGTGCAGTGACGCAAACGTGGACGTCTGCGAGCCCACCCTGTACTCCAGGAGGTGAATGACCCTGAACAAAGCCAGCCCTACGTCCTGCCACGTGCCGGGGTACGCACAGCACGAAGACTTCACCCGCATCGTTATCATTAACCTGCATAATGGCCACACTGGCTAGACGGGGAAACTGAGTCATGGTGGCGTGGCAGTCCTTGGAACCTAGCGCTCCATGTACCCACGGAGAGTAGGTGACCCCTGTCCTTTCTGGCCAGCTCAGAAAGCAACCCCAGCCTGCTCGAGAGCACAGACCACCCACCTGCAGGTACTCGGTGAAGAAGGACCCCAGCTCCGTCTTCAGCAGCTGCCTGTGGGCGGGAGGGGACAGGACAGTGAGGGACAGCAGGGCTCAGAGACCACGGGTGCTGACAGGGGGGTCACCAGGGCAGCTGGGAGGCCGACCTACTCAGCCCGGCGTGAAGGGTGGGCACGCGCCGTCAGTTCCGTCCCAGCAGGGGGCTGGGGGGGTGGGGGGTCCCCGGGCCCCTGTCCTGTTCAGCTGTGGCTCTGTAGGCTCCCACCACCATTTCACACAAGCAGAAGCTGAAGGCTCCCCACAGCAAGAGTGAGGGCCACGGCATCTGTCACGTCCTCAGGGAGACACTGGCAGTGCTGGGCCTCCAACCCTCCGCTCCCCCCCACCCCGCACCCCGAGCAGGCAGCATGGCTCCCGAGGGCATCTTCACGGCCCTCCTGTACTCCGTCAACCCAGCAGCAGGTGCTCATTCCGGTTCCCTTCTACAAGCGAGGCAAGGGAGGCTCAGAGAGGTCCAGTGACTTGTCCAAGGCCACACAGAGCACAGCAAGTCAGGGTCAGAACCTCGTCCTTTTTACTGAGGTTGACAGCTCTTTGCACCGCACACCTCTGGGGGCTGAAAGAATGGTGGGCGTCCTGGTCCAGACCTGAAACACTTGGGCACTGTCAATGTTCGGCCCAACACTCGACCTCCCCTCTCATCTTGGTCAGCCTTGGAGCTGTGTGTGTGTGAGCACGCGCGTGCACACTTGGGGGGCACTGAACTCACCACCCCCATACCCGTGAAGAGGGTGCTCTGGTCCTCAAAGGCCTTTTAGGGGTGGCTACGCTCTACCTTCCTGGTGCTGAAAGCGGGACCCCCAGGACTGGCTGTCCCCACTGGGGATGGGGGCCTGGGGGCTAAGTGAAGCAGACAGAGGGCAGGCGGGTTGTGTGAGGTGACCAGCACCCCAGGAGCTGAGCAGCAGGCATCCCTGGAACCTGGGGCTTCGGGAAGGATCGGGAAGGTGCAGAGAAGATGGGGTGGGGACACGAAGAGGGCCACGTTTCCTGAGCAGCTCTCAGGGGCCACGGCCACATCAGGCCAGTCACAGAGCGAAGCTCACGACAGCCTGACAGGTGGTCCTGGTGTCCTTGGATGGGATGAGTGAGGACCCTGAGGGTCAGAGCACCTTCGGCTGTCTGGTGGCAGCCCCGGGGCCCTGTCCCCAACCCCTGGCCGGCAGCTTCTCTTAGCACAGGACCAATCCCAAGTCACAGCCCGACGCCGTCCCCAAGTAACCGTCAGGTTAACGGTGGCGACACTCACCACGCTGAGCTCCACCTGCGACAGCGAGGGGATGTGAAGCCAGCGGCCCCTGTGGTCAGCCCCCTGCCACAGTCTCTCTACCTTCTCCCAATCATCTGCACCTCCAAGGACCAAACGTGACCTCAGCTCCTGTGTGACCCCCACATCCAAGCTCAGTGTCTATCTCAAGGTCACCACATGCATGACACAAGGGGCCACTCTGGGCAAGTCCAGAGAGCAAAAGGCAAGGAGAAAGGGTCTTCTCTTAGGCCAAGGCTGAGTCTGGGTGAGTCCCCTCAGCCTGTGAGGGGCCAGAGGGCCAGCCCCAATGCCGCCAGCCCACCGTGTGATGCTGGGCAAGTCCCCTCCCCTGTCTGAGCTCCAGCACCCTCATCTGGCGCCCGAGACATGCCAGAAGGTGGAGAAGGAGGGTCTGGGGTGTCAAGTGAGACCATGGCTTACACTTGGTATATACAGCAGGTGCTCAGTAAAGCCCTCCTCACCCTCTCCCTGGCCCGTAGTCAGTGACAGTGAGTATGAACATGAATGAATGAATGAATGAATGAATGTCTCCTTCAGGGCCTAGCAGACCCTCTGCCCCACTGCTGGCTGCCCGGGGGCTCCCCTTACCTCCTGACATTCCTCTTAACTCACTACATGAGCCCCTGAGCAAGGGCGAGGGGCATGGCCAGCCAAGCATCCCCCAATTTGTGCTGTGCCCAGAGGATCTCCCAGCTGCCGATGAGGGGAACCACGCTCATTCCACAGATGTGGAGACTGAGGCCCTGGGGGGCAAGAAGTGAGGTCCCTGTGGGGCCTGCTGGTTAGCTTACTCCCATATCCTTAGGGGAGCTTCAGGCCAGCCTATGCACCCCGGGACACCACCTGGGAAAGGCACTGCAGGGGGAACAGCCCGGGTGTCATCTGAGGGGAGACGGACAGCCACAGAAAGGGGCTGGGGGGGCAGAGACCGAGGCCAGGGCCACCCTGTCCAGATGGGCCTGCTGGCTCCTGGGAGCCGCAAGGCCAGTGGGACATCGGGCTGGAGCTGGGGCACGGCCAGATGATCTGCATCCCAGCCAGAGCCCAGGAGGCAGGAGAAGGGGCCTCTCAGGAGCAGAGCAGGTGGCCGAGCTCCTGCCCATAAGCTTCCAGATGATTCTCCTGGCCCCAGGGAGACACCCTGGCAGCAGCTGCACGGTCAGGACAGGCCCGAGAACGCAGAGCAGCCTGGACCACTGGGCATGGGGCAAGAGGCCTTTCACAGCTGAGCACAACCAGGGCATCCTGGGGCCTGATTCTGTTTAAGAAGGTGGGGTGCGGGCGCCTGGTGGCTCAGTTGGTTAAGCGACTGCCTTCGGCTCAGGTCATGATCCTGGAGTCCTGGGATCGAGTCCCACATCAGGCTGCCTGCTTGGTGGGGAGTCTGCTTCTCCCTCTGACCCTCCCCCCCTCATGCTCTCTCTCTCTCATTCTCTCTCTCTCAAATAAATAAATAAAATCTAAAAAAAAAAAAAAAAGAAGGTGGGGTGCATGAGGAGTCCTTCAGGGGCAATGACATCTGAAACGGGGAAAAGAGGTGTCCTCTGCAATGCAGAGTGACTTAGTCTCTACCTGGGAAAACTATTATGCCAAGTGTGTCTGTTTTGGGGCCTTAGGAGAAGGTGGTCAAAGGAACAGGTCAAGAGAGAGGTGAGATCAGCAGCCTGGACGTCATCAAAAACTTTCATGCTTCAGAGAACACTGCCGGAAATGCGAGAGACAACCCACGGATGGGAGAGCAGCTGTGCAAATCAGAACCTGGTAAGCGTCTAGATCCAGAATATATAAAGAACTCCCGCGACTCAACAAGGAAGAGATAAGTCATCCCGTTTAAAAACGGGCCAAGTAGACATTTCCCCGAAGAGGATATACAGATAGCCAACGAGCCCGGGAAAAGATGTTCCTGTGATTAGTCATCAGGGAACTGCAAACCCCAACCATGAGACGGCACTCACACCCACAGTGCTGGCAGATACAAACCCCCAAGAGGAGCAAGTGCCGGTCAGAAGCTGGGGGGCTGGCCGCTCAGACTCAGCTAGTGGGAAGGGAGGCTGAAGCAGCTGCCATGCATACCCCGGGTGTGGCGCCAGGAGAAACGAAGCCGCACATCCGCACAAAGCCCTGCACTGCACGTTCAGGGCCGTATGCGTTACAGCCCGGGGGGGGGGGGGGGGAGGAGGGGTGGCCCAGACGTCTAGCAGCAGGTGAACGGATACACGGAATGTGGTTTTCCTAGCGTGGAATATTATTTGGCCACAGGAAGGAATGAAGTGCGGGCACAGGCTCCGAAGCAGATGACCCTTGAAGGTGTCCAGCTACACGGATGCAGCCAGACCCCAAAGGCCACGGGCATGTTGGGTGATTGCATGTATGAGAAACATCCATAGGAGGCAAATCATAGAGACAGACACGTGATTGCCATTTGTCAGGGGCTGGGGGAGGAGGGATGGGGAGTGACTGTTAATGGGGACGGGCTTTTATGGGGGGGGGGGGGAAGTAGGTGAGAATGTTCCGGAATCAAACAGTGGTGAGGACTGCACAGCTCAGTGAATATGCTAAAAACCACTGAAATGTACGTTTTAAGACTGGATTATACGTCAATGTATACACGTATGTATATAAAAACGGGAAAGAAAGGGTGATGGCCAGACATCAGGATCCTGTGACTACTCACCTCCCTGGACTTAGCCTTGCCTGGGCCCAGCCGAGGAGCGCCCCCACCCGCCCGTCTCACCACCAGCCCCGAGAACCGAGGGGAACATTCAGGTGACAGCACCATCAATGGCTCCTGTCACCAGGCTCTCTTGTGGGATCACGGCTAATCCAGTGATGGGCATCGCGCATAAAGTCACTTGATTTAACATGGCCACGTGACAGAGAAGAGGGGGTGGGGGCTGGGCAGGGGGCGGTCCCGAGGGACCCACAAGGCCTGGGGTCAGGGACCCGAGTCCCAGCTCCACTGACCAGCCCTGTGAGCACACGCAGCATGTGACCTCTGCCTCAGTTCCTCAACCTGTAAAATGGGTAGCCGAGGAGCCCGAGAAAAGCAGGGCCCCCTGGGCGGGTCACACGTAGGGGGCCCAGGAGAGGCAACGAGCTCCTGCTCTGTGATTTCAGCTGCCCCTTTCCCTCCCTGGGCCTCAGTTTACCTGTCTGTAAGGCCCCTCTCAGCTTTGCCACACTGGGCTGGGGAGCCCTGTAGGAATATGATCCCTGTCCCCATTATCCTTCATTCTCATCTTGAGCTGGTGAGAAGCTAGGCTGCCTACTTTTCCCAGATACTGACACAGGGACAGGGTAGCACAGGCCAGGGCGGGAAGGGAACAGCACAGAGGTAGGAAATGCCTTCTTGAGGCAGCTGTGTGACCCCAGGCAGGCAAGTGTCTTGACCTCTCTGAGCTTCAGCCTCCTCCACCGCAAAGCAGGACTAACGGGGCTGGCCCTGCAGGTTCCCTCCAAGTGACGGATGGCACCCGGCTCACAGTGGCAGCTCGGAGGAGCTGGTCCGTCCTGGGCTCCCTCACCAGTGCTCACTGCTTGGCCATCCACAGGAAATGAGGGGCGTTCGGCCAGGCTGTAACTGCCTTTCCGGGAATGACACTCCCGTCATTAGGCAGGTGGGTCCTTCCTCTTTAACAGAATAATATCCTTCATGATGTTCAACACCAGCGGGGAATGTGGGCGTTATCTCGAGCCCCTGTCCAAGTCCCACCCTGCTTCCCCTCAAGAGAAAGTGCTCAGGACAGGTCGGGGTGAAGTTCCACCAGGCCCAAGAGCCACACGACCAGGGCCCGCAGTCAAGGCCCGCGTGTGGCCCCGCGGTCACTGCCCGCTGTGGCTGTTAAGGGCGGCATCTCAGGTGTGGCTGGGGGAGCAGGGCCTGGCTGACCTCCGCCCTGACACAGCCTTCCCCGCCACTCTCGGGCCCAGGACAACATGGCCACTCACCGGACGCCCTCGTTGAGGCTGAAGAGTTCCTGGTCGGGCAGCCCCTTGCGCTGGAAGACGGCGATGACCCCGTTGTGGATGCTGTGGGTGGGAGAAAGAGGAGTGTCATCGAGGCCCCACCACCCCTCTCTGCAGCAGCCCACCCTGCTCGGCTGGAGGAACAGAAGTGGGCCTGGTCAGGGGCGCCTGGGTGGCTCAGTCATTAAGCGTCACCTCTCCAGGATGTCTTCTGCGGCCTACACACACTCTGCTCCCCTTCCCTTGTTCCTGAACCCTCTTTTCCCAAGGATACCTTTGATCACCTGTCCCACCCTGTAACGTATCCCAACCCACACCTACCAGGGGCTTCCAGGTGCCCCTGAGCCAGCCCCTCCTGACTCCTGGTGTCCCTGAGCACTGAACGCTTGTGTTATGGGCCCCACTGGGGAAGTGGCCTCCAGCCACAGGGCCTTTGTATGTGCCCTTTCTCCTGGTTGGTCCTCTCCCACTTCCACTATCTGCTCCCTTTAGATCACATGTTGTTGCCCACTTTTACAGACTGGTCACTGTGTAACCACATGTTTCTGTGTGATTTGATTAAATTGTTTCTATCACTGTCTATAAACCCCAAGAGCATAGAGCCCCGGGCAAAATTCATCCTTGACTCTCCCTCACCCTCCAAAGCCAAAGTTCCTGAAGTCAGATCCATTTCTACCTCCTAGAGCTCCGCTGCACCCCTCCCCTCCCTTCTAGCCAGGGCCCCTCCTTGCGTGCCTGGACCTGATTACACCAGCCCGCCTCCACACTGCCCCCAGTCACTTCCCTGACCAGGGTCTTGTGAGGCATCCACTGCCCTGCAGATACAGCCCAAGGCCTGGACATGGCATTCGAGGCTTGTCAGGAATGGCCCCTCCCTGCATGCCGGAGCATCCTACACTCGAGTCTCGGAGTTGCTGGATCTGCCAGACGCTACCACACCTCTGGGTCTCTGCACCCGCTGCCCCTTCTGCCTGCACGGCCCTTCCCTTCCCCAAATACGAGGTAAGCAGCTATTCATACTGAAGACTGAGCTCAGAAGCCACTTCCTCCAAGAAGCCCTCCTGACCCCCTCCCTTCCCCAGGGAGACTCCTATCCTGGCACTTTGCTGATTTACTTCCTATTAGCACACACCCTCGCCCGGCCACACACTCCTGAGGGCGAGAACCGGGTCTGGGAGGCTCCACCGCCCTCTGCCTAGGCCCCGGCCACTGCTCTAAGCTCACAGACCTGCTGCCGTGATCCTCAGCGCAGAGGGGACAGCTGGACACACGCTGCCGTTCACATCGCAGACCAGGTAGCAGCCACCAAGCTCCTGGCGCCCTTGTCCATTGGCATTAGCTCCATGCTTCCCAGGAATGCAGACTGGCCCCCCACTTCGCAGATGGGGACACAGAGGCTCACAGAAGCCACATCCCCTTGGGAGGGCACAGAGCTCCTCACCCAACAGCTGCCCTCTGTCCCCACACAGCCGGGTCTGGGCAGGGCTCGCGCAGGGACCTGCACCCCCCGGGGGCGTGAGCCGTGTGGGGCCACATCCAAGGTCCGCGGCTGGTCCCCGCCAGGCCCGAGGCCGAGACCAGCTCCACTGGGAGTTACCAGCCTCTCAGCAAGTGCTGGCTGAGACCACGCGGGACACTGGTCACTTGACCTGGGGCGCCCGTCTGCTCCGGGCCTGGCATCAGAATGCCACTGACTTGCATGTCCAAGACACACGTCCCCCAACTTCTGCTTCCCCCAACCCTGGGCCGCTGTGAGGATGAAATGCCTGGCCGGGGCCGCGCTCACCCCCATCGGAAGTCCCTGGTGGACCCAGCCCCACCACTGTGTCCCCGGAAGGCTGCTCCCCATCTACAGCCAGAGAAGAGAAAAATCCGCCAGGAAGCCTAACGGCTGCCGGGAAGCCAGTGGTCCTCCAGCGCTGCCACGCCGGAATCCGAGCAGCTGCAAGCTGGCTCCCGGCCCCGGCTGCTGGGGGGCCGGAGGCGCACGGCAGTCCTGGGCACCACCCTGGGACCCGGGGGCCCAGCCGCTCCTGAGGCACAGAGGGGATCAAGGACCCCGAGGCGGGAGGAAGCCAGCACAGGCCGAGCCCTGGGCAGCCTCTCTTGCTCTTCACACACACCTGCTCCTAGCAGCCTCTCCCTGGCCTTCCTCCTCTTCCCGTCAGCCTTCCGGAGGGACCCCAGCCCACAGGTGACCCTGCACCAGTGGGTCTGGACGGTGAGGCCGGCTCTCTGAACCAGGTCCTCCCCAAGGCCCCCGGGGAGTCAGATGTATCAGCCCCTCCTGCCTGAGGGCCTTTGTCCTTGCTGTCCCTTCCCCTGTAGGCTCGCCCTCCACCTGCCCCGTGGACCTCAAACCCTCCTCCAACCCCCCCAGGTTGGGTCCCTCCTCCCTCACACTGGTGTTGTGGAAAAAAACTTGACCTCAGTGGTCTTTTAGGGGAGGGGAGGTCTATCTGCTTGACTATTCTGCCCCCATCCCTGACCCCCAGGCTCAGGCTGGTGCCACACCCAGCGTATCACCCCCCTTTGAGTCTCTCAACACCTGTACCTGAGCAGCCCCCGGCCCAGCCCAGGGGTCACCCTGAGACCCGCCGTCCCCTCTCTGCCCACTGTGAACACTGGCCACCTGTGCTTCGGCTTCCCCACCCACACCATGGACTCGGAACTCCAGCGCCCAAAGGAGACCGTGCCCGGGCAGTGGCGTGCCCCGCGGGGGACACTTGCTGGGGCATCTTCAGCAGTGACTCTGAGGACAGGTGTGTCCCCAGAAGCTCCCACCACAGCTCAACCATTCGCTCTGTGGTTTTCTCAGTCTCTCCCTTCTAACCACCACACAGGGGGCCTGTCACACCCCAGGCTATGGAAGGAAACGAGGAGGGTCTGGGGAGCCAAGGGACTGCCCAGAGTCCATTGAGTGTGACACCCAGCAGAGCCAGCGAGCCTGGCCCGCGGTCCTCCTACCCCGGTGCGTCGGCTCGGAACCCGCCTCCCACGCTGCCCCAAGCTGGACGGGCCCTCCTCCTTCCATTCCTCTCCAGCTAGGGGCTGAGGTTCCCTTTCTAGCCCAAGTCCAAGTTGGGCAAACAAAAAAGAACCTTGCTGTGAGCCACTTGGGGAGAGGAAGGGTGGGGAACAAGAGGCCCTCGTGTGACTTATCTTCCCTCCAAAATAGAAGTGAAACCCCAGCTTCCCCGGTCTGTGGCCTCCTGGCCAGAGGTGGGCAGGCCCAGCGCAGACACCGGCAGATGCTCCTGTGCAAACCACAGGCAGCCTCCAAGGGCACTTCCGGGTGAGACCCACAGCCTCTCCCCACTGGGCAGTCCTTCGTGGAGCCTGTCCCCCTCCCCAGTGCAGGACAGGAGGGCAGGGCCGAGTCCCAGTGTCTCTTGCCTGGGCCCTGGGTGGGCCTGGGGTGAAGGGGGAGAAGGTGCTAGAGCCCTGGTGAGGCTCCAGGGTGCCCCTGGAGAGTGCATGGCCCAGGAAGGGGGTGGGGCAGAGCCAAACTGGGAGAGGGAGGGCTGACTGTAGGGCTCCTGGGGGCATCTGCCTGTGGCCACCCTGGTTTGGGCTGGAGCCCACGTGGGGCTGCGGGCTGAAGGGGACCCCATGTGTGGACCTCTCAGTGTCGCCCCCACCTGCCCATAGAGGAAGCCCCAGCAGAGAGTGAATGGCGGGCCTCTGGTCGGTTCGGCTGATACACCTCCAAGGACCCCTGGAGAGAGTAAGGCCCCTGGCAGGGACCTGGAGGCAGAGTCCTGCCTTTCTCTGGTGCCTACCTCGATTTGGACCTGGCCTCCAGAGGCCTCGGAGGACACCAGGTGACCCCAGAAGGCCGAGCCAGACCCTGAGCAAGGTGGCCACCTCCTTGGGCCCCTCCCACTGGTGTCCAGGCCTGGCATGTCTCACCGGCTCCCGGCCTGCAGTCCGCGGGAAGGGATGGTCAAGTGAACGAAGAAGGGCAGAGGAGCTGGGCTCCACCGGGTCCGCCACGGGCCCCCCAGGCTCCTCCTGCTGCTGGCTGCCACCCCACTGACAGCCAAGGCTCTAGTCCTCCCTCTCCCCTGTCTATCCCTGAATGGAGCCCCCGTGTCCTCCTTGGTACCTGGGGGTCATGCCCAGCCCTGAGAGATTAAGGGGGGGCTGCCTGGCTCTGCTCTAGCTGCCCCAGGAGCAGGGCCCACTGGCTTCCTCTTCACGTCCAGGTGAAAGGCACAGGAGGTAGGCAACCTGGAAGCCGACCGTGCCCCCAGGCCAGGCCCCGACATGACCCTCTGGTAAATGGGATGACAATGCCGTTTCTAGCCCCGTGTCAGCTCCATCCGCTCCTCAGCAAACAGATCCCACTCACACCCTGGTTCCAGTCCACCTGGCTCTGGGTGCTAGCCCCCAGCCCTCACAGGGTCCCTGGCTGAGCAGGAGGGGCCCGTGCCCCCCTGCACTCCCCCCCCCGGGCGCCTGGCAAGCGCCCTGACCCGCCGGACTGCGGAGGGCACAATGGAGTGCCCTTGTCCTGGAATGGCTCCCCATTTCCCAGCTGTGAGGCAGGTTCTGGAGCCAGGATGGGGAGGGCCGCACACGGCCCTGAGCAGCCCTGAGCCCAGGCTGGGGTGTGAGAAGTGGTGGCCCGGAGCGGAGGGGGGCGGGGGGGTGGGGCACGGGCGTCAAAAACGCCACAAACATAGTGGCTTAAAACAACCCCAACGTGTTGGCTTACGTTTCTGAAGACCAGAAGTTCTAAATCAGTTTCACGAGGCTAAAATCAAGGTGTTGGTGTGACTGGCTCCTTCTGGAGGCTCTAGGGGAGAATCTGTTTCCTGGCCTTTTCCAGCTTCTAGACGCGCCCAGGTGCTTGCTCAGGCTCCTCCCACCCTCACGGGAAGCACTGTGGCACCTTGGATCTCTGCTTCCATCCCGCCACCTCCTCCCCTGCCCTGCCCCCCGGGGCCTCGCTCTTATGAAGACCCTTGTGATGACACTGGACCCCCATCTCAAGATCCTTCACTTAATCACACTCGGAAAGTCCCGTTTGCCTTTAACATAGTCTCAGGTTCTGGAGGGCCAGGGTGGGGACATTTTGGGGGGCCATTCTTCTATGGACCACACCCAGACTGCCTCAGGGGGGCAGGAGGCTCAGGCCCCAGAGCGGCAAAGAGGCAGGGGTGGCGTAGGGGGAGCCAAGCACAGGCCCCCAGCAGCCTCCAACCCCCACGCCCAACCAATGGATCACCCTGGAGCCTTCAGCCAACCTCCTCCGGCCCCTCAGAGACCCCCCTGAGGGGGTGGTAGACACGCAGGCTTTGGAGTTGGACCTAGGTTAGATCCCAGCATCTGCCCTGACTCCCTGGGGAGACCTGGGCAGTTCCCAAACTTCTCTGAGCCTCAGTTTCCTCCCCTGCAAAATGGGGCCGACGAGCCCGACCTTGAGGGCTGCTGGGGAACAACAGGAGCGCCGTCAGGACTCGGGTTTGGTCAGGGCCCAGCACAGGTCAGCCCTCTGAGTGCAGGGCTCCCAGATGCCCAGGATAGGGGAGTGCATACAAGGTGGCTGCCTCCAGCCTCCAGGTTCTTACCAACACCCACCTCTCTTGGTCCCTGCGCCGTGACCTCAAGTCAGACCTGGGGTCAGACCCCCGGGCCCTAACATTAGTGTGGGATCTTGAGCAAGTCCATCCCCCCCACCTCAGTTTCCCTCTCTGTAAGCTGAAGATAATCATCCCAGCTACTTGGAGGGAGATGATGGGGAGGGAGTGTCCCACGCAGGGCAGTGTGCCAGGCCCCGCATGCGCCCACACTCCACCCTGCTTGGGGCCTCCCCTCCCATACCTAGAAGGTGGGGTGGGCGCCAGGCTCTCTAAACCCCAAGCATTCGGGCCGGTTCTGGCCCGCAAAGAATAAGAGTTAGCACTAACTCCATAACGATTAACACCCTCTGGCCCAAACACATGCCCAGGGGACCCGTGTTAGGCAGGCCTTTAGGGCTGAGGTTTGGAGAGCTCCCTCTCGCCCCTCAGCTCATGAGCATGACCTTCATGGAGCTAGAGGCCCCACCCCTGCATGGCGTCCAGACCCCGTGAGGAGCTAACTGGGGCGGCCCAGGAGGAATGCATGGACAGAGCGGAACACCACCTGCCATGTCCGGGCCCTTGAGGGAGGAGGGGAGGGGAGACTCCAGGTGGGAGCAGCAGGTCGGCCTCCTGAGTCCCCGGCCTGTCTGGGGCCCTGCACTCGGCTTGGCTCAGGGGACAAACCCGCCAGCAGAGAAGTAAGGGCCAGTGGGGCCTGGCACCCACCACTCACTCAAACATCTCCTGCACACCCAGGAACCGACATTCTGGAGGAAGGAATGAGGCGTAGCTGGGCCAGCTGCGCAGTCAGCACTCACCTGTGTATCTTCTTCCGGGCACTAAACGCGACCTACAGTGACCTCACGCCTTTCCTTATGTCCCTGTTTATCTCCTGACTCCTTCCCCGAAAGCCGGCTCAGGAGGCTGTTCTGCTGCCTCTCGGCCCCGGGAGCCGCCCATTGTCAGGGAGCGAAGGAATCAATGAGGGAACGAACTGAACGATGAATGTCTAAGTGACTGCACGGATCCCGTTCTCATAAGAGCAAGCTCTGAGGAGGAAAGAGGCACAGGAAATTTAGGGGATGTGCCCAGGGTCACTGTGGTGGGCTGAATAGAGTCCCCAGAAATTTGTGTCTACTTTGGAAACAAGGTCTTTGCAGATGTAGTCAGTGAAGGATCTTGAGACAAAATCATTCTGGATGAGGGTGACCCTAGAGCCAATGACCGGTGTCCTTGTAAGAGAAAGGAGAGGGAGTTTCGACAACAGAGGCCCAGGAGACAGAGGCAGACGGCCACAAGCCAAGACACCACTTGAAGCTGGAGGAGGCAGAAGGATACCCCCCTAGAGTCTTCGGAAGGAGCACAGTCCTGCCGACACCTTCGTTTTGGACTTCTGGCCTCTGGAACCACAAGAGAATACACCTCTGTTGTTCAAAGCTACCCAGCTCATGGCAATTTGTCACAGAAGCCCTATGAGACTAGTATGGTCGCACAGATAAAAGGCCTCGGACTCCAAACGAGGCGTGAACAGCTCAGCACGGCAGGCCCTGGAGACGGACACAGCTGTCCTGCATGAGGGCTGCTGTCCTGGGGGCCCTGCAGGGAGCCCTGCAAGAAGGGGCAGGCGGGCAGAGACCAGAGCGGACCCCCAGCCCTGCACTGCTCCCACTCAGGGATGGGCAGAGGAAGGCACTTTGCCTCTCCTTGGCTCGGCACCCCCTCTGCCTGGGGAGGAAAGAGCAGGGGCTCAGGCCCTGCCCTGTCCTCCATGGGTGACAGTGACATGGGCAGGTCTGCGGGGTGCTCTGTGTCCCCCTCTGCACCTCCAAAGGGCGGATGGGAGAAATAACTCCCACGCTGGGCAAAGTGAACCAAGGGACATGAAGGGGTCGGGCGAACAGAAGGAGTACAAGATGGCAGGTGGGAGCGGCCAGGTGCCCAAGGGATGGAAGACTCAAGCTGGGGGAGAGGAAACGTGTTCTTCTGAGGCCTGACAGGTGCTGGAGTTCTAAATTCCATTAAGTGAAAAGCAGTGGAGGGACTCAGGCGGCCTCTCCTAGCAGGCACCTCCCTGAGCTCCGCAAGACTCAGAGCTGGCCCCAGGGTCACACGGGCAGGTGGCTGTCTAAGCCAGTGCCTTCCCCTCTGTCTGGACACCCCCAGCAGGAGACCCCGGCTGGGGGAGAGGGGCTCACAAAGCTGCTGGTGGTGAAAGCTCAGGAACCAGCAGACTCCTGAGGGCCCCTCCAACCTCATCCCTACAGGCCCACCCCAGCACGAGTTTGGGCTTGAGTTCCACACTACATACTATGTGCTGGGCACCGCGCAGACAGCTTGAATATGTATGTTTTGCACTTAATCCCTACAACCGCCCTGTGAGGTGGACACCCTTATGAGCCCATTTTATGGCTATGGAAATTAAGGCCCAGAGAGGTTGACTGACTTGCTCAAGGCCACACAGCAGGGAAGAGGCAGAGCTGGGAATGGAACTAAATCTGTTTGGCTCCTACCACTAAACCAGAGAATGGGGGGGGCGGGGCGCTCAGCATCTATCTACTGAACTCTGAGACAAGAGAAATCAACTCTTAGGACATTGTGCAGTCAGTGGGTCACTGAGATTCCCCAGTGAGAGTCCCTCCTTTACTGTCTCCACATCAGCCCGGTAAGGAGGAATGCACACGCCCATTGACAGGGAAACTGAGGCAAACCCAGCCCCAGGCAGTCGGCAACTTGGTAGGGGACAGAAGCCAAGCGCGCAGATGATGGGGTCCTGCCTAGTGCACAGACAAGGGTCTCAGGCTGGTGGCCCCATGCCCACTAGGATGCTCAGCAAAGTCTCCATGAACAGAATCGATGTGTGGCCACACTGACAGCCGGGTTCCTGGGGGCTAGGACCACAGCCAGCGGAGCATCTGGCAACACTTTTCTGCCAGGTGTGTGTGTGTGGGGGGGGGGGGGACGGCATCCACAGCCCCCCCTGAACAGCCTCTCACTCTCTTCCCCTCCCTTCCCTTTTCCTTTTGGTGGAAATGTCTACTTTGAAAAGGGATCAGGAACAGACACGCTGGGGAATCCCACTACATAAACCATCTCTTTTCCGGATCCCAGCCTTGCTCTTCATACAAAGCTTGGGGGTGGGGGGACTTCCCACGCCCCTGCTAGTCTGGGAAAGGCCCCCAGGGGGGAGGGTCGTCTCAGGAATGCCAGGCAGCTGCTGCACCCCTGCTGACAGCTGGGAGGACAGGGGCCGCTCGGGGGAAACTACCCGCCCACCCCCTCAGACCAAAGGGACCTTTACTCTGAGACAGGAAGCGCAGCGGCCACCCACCGACAGCGCCCTTGAGGCTCGTCTGCGAAATGGGAAAAATACTTCCTGCTCTCTTTACCTCCCAGACTGCCATGAGCACCGGGGCGCAGACGTGGGAAGACCCCCGGGTGGGAGGCAAGCACGCAGGCTCCAGGCCCACCCCGTCGCCCACCAGCTGGGCGCTCCGGGACGATCCCCGAGTCCGCGGTCTCGTCCCTCCCTTCTAGAAACACGTTGCACTAAACTTCCCTCTCCGCCCGCACAACTCCGGCGGAGCAAGTTCTTTGCGAACCGTGAAGTGCCGCGGCGTTCCTCGCCTGCGGGCCCGACGGAAGGCTCCCTCTCCTCGGGCTCTGGCGCCCCGGGCCCGGCGGGCGGGCCGGGAGGGCGCGGCCTTACCTGTTCCAGGTGGCGTTGGCGCAGGCCCGGCGCTGCTGCGTGCCCCGCTCGTCCGCGCCGGCGGCAGCCGGCTCTCTCTTGCCCAGGTCACTGAGGCTGGGCGAACTCATGAACTTCAACCTGCGGAGAGTCCTCATGGTGACCCCGGCGGCCCGCTCCGCGCCCACGCGCGCCCGGCGCCGCGCCCTGCGCCACGCCGCGCCGCGGGCCCCGGCCGGCACTGCGCCCTCTACGAGGAAACTTGGGCGAGAGCAGGAAGCTGAGCGGCCCTCCGGGGTCCCGCCCCGGTCCCGCGCCTCCGCCCCGGGCCCCGCGCCGGCTGGCCCGCCGGGTTAATCATTGCTCCGAACGGCCGCAGCGGAGAGCGCCAAGAGCGCGGCCGGCAGCGCGGACCCGGCGCAAACGGAGGCGGCGGCGGGGGCGGGGCCGGGGGCGGGGCCGCGCCGGAGGGGGCGGAAACAGGGGCGGCCCCGTGCAGGGTTGAGGCGGGGCCTCATGCAAAGGGGCGGGCTCGGGGGCGGGACCACGAGCGGGGGCGGGGGCTGCTCTTCCTTGGCTGCGACAGCCCCAAAGCCCCGTCGATGTGCCCTTCCGGGTCGCGCTTGGACCCCTGGGGTCTTCGGAGGGCCACCTGCCCACAGGAAACCAACACTCATGGGACGCAGAACCCAACCCCAAGGGTCCCCCCTGAGGCGGCCACTGGGGCCACACCCACGAAGCTCAGTGACTCCTTTCCACCCTCCCCCCCTTTGCCAATGCTTCACCCAAAGTCACCCCCCTCGCCATCCCCACAAAGGCTGTGCCCACACAGATCCCTCAAGACCCTGCCAGGTGGACACAGACTCCTCCCAGGTTCTCATGAAGACCTGGTGGAGACCTCCAGACCCCTTGGGGCACTGGGCCAGGACCCCACCCCACCTAAGCCCAGCCTGGGCATGCCTAATCACCCTTCTCTGGCGTGGAGGGGTTGACAGACTTGGGGCTGGGGGAATCATCAGTGGCCTCTCCACCGCAGAAACCAGCCAAGCTGGTGCTCCACCGGGTATCAGTGATGGTAAAAACAAGTGGGTCCCCTAAGACTCCGTGGCTGGGGAGAGTAACCCCAGTGAAGGGAGGGCGCAGCCTTGGTGCTCTCCACGCTTTACACAGCACTTTTAGATGCTTGGTCTCAGGCCAATCTCCCTCTAAGAGGTAGGAATTCTTTAATTAATTAATTAATTAATTTTTGAGTATAGTTGATACAGAGGTAGGAATGCTTCTTCCCATTTCTCAGTTGAGGAGATGAGGCCTAGAAAGTGAAATAACCTGCCCAACGCCGTATAATCTGCAGATGGCAAAGCTGGGCCAACCCAGGCCTCCTAAGCACACAGCACAGGCATGCACAACAGCTCCCCCCCCCCCCCCGCCTTGTCCCCCCCACAAATCAGACAGGGCACCACAGCATCTCTGCCCTCATTCTACCTCCTGGGCATTTCCTGGGGCCATGCCTATGCTGAGCAAGTTCTGGTAGCACCACAACCCCTGCCCCCTGTCTTCCCATAGACACTTCCCTTGTAAATCAGTGGGGAGAAACAAGGGGCTGATCCTAGAATCTCAGCAGGTGATGGATGCTCAGAGCCCCGCCCCCTTGTTGTACAGAACAGGGAACTGAGGCCCTGAGGCCACTGGGTCCTTCATGCCAGGGTGTGTGCATCTCCTGCTTCCTCTCAATGGCAGAACCAAAGCACCCGCCCCCTGAGAAAGGGATTCCTTCCATGCCATGGATGGGGGCTAGCTAATTCAGTCTGATGCAGTGTAGAGACAGGAATCAGTCTGAAGGAGGCAGTGGCTCAGCCCCCAAAGCGGGGCTCTTTCTGCCCAATGTCCCAGGTGGGATGGTTTGCCAAGATCAGGCCAAGCAGCAGATGAGCTTCTTGTGCGGCTTCGAGGGCCAAGAAAGCCCCATATAAAATGTACGAGAACCTCGCAGGGATACATGGCCCAGTTAAAGTCAATCGGCATTACCCTCACCCTAGGGAGGCAGAGTCATGACCATCAGACTCCCTGGCCCTGAGCGCAAAATCGACGGAGCGGAGACCAAAGACCATGGAGACCCACAGAGCCCATCATCCCCAAGGCCGAGACCTGCACGACCTGGTGTGAGCCTACAGGCCAGGAAGGACTGAGCTGGCCCCTTCCTTGGCCCTGGCAGGTTCTCACCCCTTTAGAAACACCTGGGGAGCCTGTATGCTCCCTCCACCTCCACCACCAGCTGTCCAGGCCGGGAACCAGACACCTCCCTCCTTGCCAGTCATCTCCCCCTTCTCCAGCTGCCTTCACCCTGGGTTAGGCTCCGGGGTTGCCCCCTGGTCATCTGGTGACTTTTCCATCCTAGTGCCATGAGCCCGGAGGGCAGGGACTGTTAAACTGGCTCAGTACTCTATTCCCAAGCCCGGTGCACAGTAGGCATGCGGTGCAGATTGAGGCGAATGGATGGATAAACATCTGTCCGCAGGAGTGGAGGGACTACGTTAGACCATAGGAGTGCCAATGCTTTGTGGAAGGTGCCCCCACTGGACCGCCGGAGACAGAGCCGTGGTAGTTACCAGTGGTGTAAATGGGGCGGAGCAGAGCCGTGGGGATGGACCCTGGGTAGGATGGGATGCGTGGTGGCTTCCCGAGCCAGGGGAGAGGCCTGGCTTTGCTTGCTTGGCACACTCAGGTGGGTGGCGCTCAGCACAGACTCTGGTGCTGGCGGGCAGGCTGGCAGGAGCGGCCAGCTCAATGTGGGAGGGAGGCGGACCCCTCTGGATGAGAAATTAAAGGGAAAATGGGTGGCATGTGGGTGAGGGCAGCCCAGAGGGGGAGGTGGGAGGAAGGGAGAAGAGGAAGCGCTCTGGGAGCGGTGGAGACCAGGGTTCTGGGAGATGTGGCCAGCAAGAAATTCCGGAGGTAGGGATGGCTGAGGGACTTCAAGGCTGTCTGCCGTTTGTGTTAAGGAATTTGCTGTAACTGCCCCCTAGCCCTGGCTAAGGACGTCCGTAAAATCTGTCTACACCCAATAGCCCAGGGCCAGGGTACGGTGGGGACTCAGGTGAAGGTGCCGCTGCCCTGTGTTTAGGTTGGTGACAGGCAGTGAGGGGTACAGGGATATGGGGGTGGGGCTCGACAGCCCGGGGGAGCAGCCAACCCCCAGGGCTGGAATCTGAGGCAGAGGCCAGGAGGAGACAAGGCCGTCCTGATCCCCCAGGGCAGGGGACAACGGGGCGGCCACAAACCAAGTCAAGCCCCTAAATGTGTTCTGCACAGCCTGCAGTGTGGGAGAGAAAACAAAAAACAAGAACTGTACACAGCCAAGGTTTTACAGTGGAGAGATTGACATAGAAACCCTGATTTCTGGCTTCCTGGGAAGCATCAGATGACCAGGCCTCCTGGGCCTGCGGCCTCACGTGACGGCCGTCGCTGAGCTGCTGCCCCCACAGGCAGGCAGAGGGGCTCTGGGCACCCACCAGGCCCCCCACTCACTATGGGCCTTCCAGGCCTGATGAGGGGTTGGGGACTGAGCGACTGTATTGCAAGGGCGGCCCTGGGCAGGGCCCATCCGTGCTGAGACTCAGGGGAGGGAAATGCCCTCTGTCGAAGGGATTGGGAGACTAGGGTCCCAATCCCCCAAACTGCCAGAGTAACCTTGCTCTGGATTCATACCAGGCCAGGTGGCCCCAACCATGCCCTTTCCTCCCCCAGGACCGAAGCTTTAGTTCCCCCCTCCCACCCACCAGTGGGGTGTCGGGAGTTGGTACAGGGCCCTGGTCACCAAGAGGGACCCCAGGACTTGTCCTTCTACTGGGAGAGAGAGCCCTAGATTGAGCAGCCGGAACTGGGGTCCATCAGCCCTGCCACCAAGTCCGGTGATTCCTAGGGCCTCAGTCTGCCCGTCTGTAACAGGGATGGGATTGAGGGTTAGGAGCCCTGCCTGTCACTGCTCCCCTGCCCCAAGCGTCCACAGGTGAGTTTGAAGGACAGGGGAAAATGAGAACCATAAAGCCCTTTAGGGGCCACATGCTACCCACAGACGTGGCCAGAGATGGCGAGCCAGGTGTCTCTGATCCTTGCAGTACGGCTGTGCCGAGGGGCTGGCTCAGAGGTCCTGTCTTCGACCGAAGGTGACCTGCAGGATGGGCCTGGCCCCTGTCCACGGGCTCACGGCACTGAGACTTTGCACCAGAAAGCGCCCTGGGGTTTGTTCAAAATGCCCCGTCCAGCTGCTGCTGGGAACCTCAGTCAGGATCTGTGGGGGCAGGGCCTGGGGGTCACTGACGAGCACCTGAGGGGACTCTCATGGTCCCCCGGGGTCTGCAAGCCCTGAGCCTGGCTCAGCCCCTCACTTCCCGGACGGGCAGCCTGACCGACGCCTGGGACGGACAGCTCTGCACCCCCGGCCTCCAGACTTCGAGTCACCAGGGAGAGTTCTGGAGTTCTGGGACGCCAGCCTGTGTCCGTGTGCCCCCCGAAGCGGGGAGTCAGCCACCCCGACGCGGCCGGGTCCGTGAGGGGGCCCAGGGAGCGGCAGGGCGGCAGGTCACGGGCGTGGACACCAGATCTGTACTGTGCCCTCCAGGTCATCTAGGCTGGGGGGGCGGCGAAGCACATGCCCGAAGTCCTAGTCAGCAAGTGGCAGGGCGGGAGCTGGAGCCAGGCCAGCTTGGGGGGCAAGGGGGTGGACGGCCACCAGCTCTGTCACTGTCGCTAGCGCTGTCCTCAGCCGGCCCGCATCTTGCCCACTTCCAGGCAGTCCGCAGGGAGGGGGCACCTCTGCCCCCTGGTGGCGAAGCCTGGTGCTCCCCCGAAGCCGGCTGGGAAAGTGCCTCCTGCACCCTGGGGTCTTGGACACCCAGGGTGCAGCTTAGCAATGTGCCGGGCACAGGGAGCCACGGCCATGGGAGGAGTGTCCGGCTCACTCCTCCCTTCTCCGGGGTGGGCAGGGGTGGCGACATGCCTGCCCCGCGAGGGGGTGAGGCGGGACAAGACAATTCACGTCACCATGGGCTGTGTGCCAGGGGCCTGTAACTGGTGCCTGTTAGGGCCGCGTGGCAGAATGAGATTCCCGAGTCAGAGCTGTGACGCTGGGTAACTCCAGCATCGCCCGTGATTCGGTTGGTCATCTCTGAAGGCCTTGCAATGCGCTGTTCTCAGTGACCGTCCCGAGGCTGGACAGCCGCCCATCATCCCAGGCTGGATGGGCATCAAAAGTGACACTTGTCATCTTCCATGAGTGGGGGACCTCACAGCGACTCCCGCTTGACAAGCCTGGGGCGGGTGGGTCCTGCTCTCAAGCTGCTCTGGAGGAAATGTCCCTCTTGTGGCCTTAGAGCCGGGCTCAACCATCATTACTCCCATTTCACAGAGGGGGAACCTGAGGCTGACTGGGGTTAAG